GCTTACTAGAGGATCAAGGTACAATTAATGTTCTAAAAAAATTGATATGTGTAGGTGTTATTCCAATTGACCAACAAGGCCTTGTCGATGGTTGAAATGTTCTTTCAAATCAATCTAATCTCAATAATTTTTCCTATGATAATGCCACAAAATATGATATATTCACCATCTCTTAGCTCCAATGATAAAATTTAATTTTATCTCCAATTATGTGCATTGAACATTTATTTTCTAAGTATCACACAGCTTCATTGGTCATTGAATGAAAGCGTTCCAAAGCATTAGAGTCTTGTTCTCGAACCGTAAGACAGAAATTTGCATCTTTATCTAAATCATTAGAGGAAATATTGTTGTGATCGCCATTTGACTTGACCTATAAAACCTTCTCTTTCTCTCATACTTCAATTGATTTTTCTCTTTCTTATAATTTTTATTACCTTTTTTTTTCTTTATAACAACCAATTGTAGGCAATTTTACTGGATGTGCATTGAAAGCATGTTGTTCCATAACTTTTATAGAAGCCTTCTTTTTTTTTTGTGGGGGTGGGGGTTCTTTTTTTATTGTGCACACAATTAAAAATTGGCTAATAAATGCATTGTTAGTTTTAAATGTATTTGCATTTTCCCGTACATTGTTTCACTTTTTTAGCATGAAACATAGGGTCCGTTTGCGCGGCCCGCGGGCCGGCCGCGGCGGGCCGTTGGGTCGGCTCACGGCCTGCGTTTAGTGTAAAAACCCAAACACAGTTTCAAATAAGCTGACAAAAAGCACGAACCAAAGCACGAACCAATGGTGACGGCTGCGTTTTGAAAACGCCGCCCGCACTTATAAGCTGCCCCAAACGGGCCCATAGTCTTCCAAATAGCAAAACTTTCTCATCTAAGTCTCCATTCCGAAAATGGCTTTTCAATATTTCCTCCAGCCACTACTTTACTGGAGGAATTGCATTTTAGTTTAGTATGTTCCATAGGCAAGAAGCTCATCCTATTGAAACTTGACTAATGCGGTCCTTCTAATAGCCAAATGAGACATTATCTACAAAAAGGTGCCTTATTGTAAAGTGCATTTACAGTTCCTCAAGGGAACCCTGTGTGATAAAATGAATGGATCTGCTATTGATGATTGAGACAATAAGACAGAGCTGAAGCATTTTTAAAAATAAGTAGACTTGTTAAAAAAAATAAATAAATAAATAGAAGGGTCGGGGAATAAAATTTTGATTTGTAAGGGAGTAGATTTAAGAAAATTATAGAAGTAAAAATTAAAAACTCACAACATGCAAAATTTTTATGAGTTATACCCCTACCAACATTCCCACCTCCACCCTCCAGTATATTCTAGTATTTTAATCTAATTCCTTCTAGATCCCCCTTTTTGGGAAGAAAAAGCTTTTAAAACTTGTGCTATTCCTTGACGGGAAAGGAGCTATCTAAACACTCAATTTACAGAAAATTTTATAATTTGCTAAAAAAGTTCTCTAACACTTCGTAAGGAAAGAAAAAAAAAAGAAAAATGTAAAATATATTGATTTTGATCTAACAAAATTTGCAGGCTATTAGAGCAATCTTGTATATTTGTTGATTGCTCTAACAACTTTCAAATGCCTGCAAATAATGTGGATTACATGAACTCTAGCGTTAGAGAAATTGCTGATGATCACTCAATATTTTCTCAATAAAGAATTTTGTTTAAAAGAAAATATGAGATGGTAGATTTGAGATATTTTTACAAATATTTCATGCACCATAGACTTATTTTGAGCTAAAAATAGTATTTACCTTACTTCAATATTATATGGCTCTCATATTATAAGTCTAATCTCATAGCTGTTTGAAGTTTGTAGTACCAAGAATCATTTAAACAAAGTAGCAGTATGGAATTATATAGCTATTTGAAATGTAAAAGTTAGTTGATTGATTATAGTACATGTCATTATAACATGGTCATATGATACAAAGCAAAGTCTTTTAGCCTTTTGGAATTTAAAAATTCATTCACAAATTTTATGTTTTATATAACAAAAATCTATAAAAGTAATATATCATAATTTAAAATTTTACACCTTAAATTACAAACCATTTATGCAAAGTAAAAATTGAAGCATTAATCAGGTTGTATGGAATTTAAGGAAATAAAATCTTATAAATAAATAATATAAATTATAACTTTAAGCTTTCACATTATAAATAATTTTAAAAACAAAGAGTGCAAATTGTATATGATTTTACATGAATGAAACAAGATAAAATTAGTGACATTAAAATTAAAATTTATTTTTGTTTCAATTATAAAATAAAAATAATTTAAAACAGCATTTTAATTACATAATTATCGATCAAAATTATAAAATTTGCAATTGAGGTATCTTTGATTTTTTGTCAAAATTTTATATGAATGAATTAAAATAAATTTTGATCATATTTATAACACATTTAATTATTTAAAATATTTATTTTTCTTTTTGTTTGAGTTCATAAATTTTGTCAGTAGCTGGTTGAGTTAGACCTCTCATTTTGCAATTATAAACCTAATGATCTTAAAGAATCTTTAGCACCAAAAAATGTTTTGGAGCATCTTTCATGGCTCATCGATCATCTTCTAAATTTCTTGATCAATTTTCAAATAACTTGATCATCTAATTAATTGAATAATGCATCTTTGAGATCCAAAGTTTATATAATCATCTAATTTTGAAATCACTAAGTATCAATAATTAAAATCTACACACATATGTTTATTTTCATCAAAATAACCCAATGCATGGCATGGGCTCATAAGAGCAACATAATGCACACTGGGAATCTCCTGGGCTTATTTTTAAGCTAGTCAAGTTAAGACTTCCAACAATGAAATTTGGGAACATTCAAATTAGCTTAACAGCTAAGAAACTTTATTTTAATGTTATACTTTAATTTATAATGAATTAAAATTATTAAAAAAAAGTTAGCGGAATATATTCAAAAAAATTATCTTAATGCTATAAGTGAAATAAGATTAACATAGGTTTATATTAAATATAAACATAAAAAGAAATCTTTGACATTTGGAAAATGTCGAAACCAGCTTCAATGAATAATTTAAATATCATAAACAAAGAGAATATATTGTTTTTGAATATTATGCATGATATACATCTTTTAAAGCTAAATATTTTTTGCATCTAAACTATTATATCACCACTGTATGTTTCATCAATGGCGTGAAGCGAAAGATTATAAATAAACTAACTTACAATCTACCCAAAACCGTAGGAACCTTCATAGAATATTTATCTATTGAGGCATATTTAATTCTCTAAAGCCTATAAAAAATACATCAATACAAGAATCATATACAATCAAATAAGTGATATTGGATTCAATCTAATAAATGATAATATGCATATTTATTTTCTTAAATAAATTATTAACAATAATAAAATTATAAACTAAAATTCAATATGACCCTATCTTCTTCATTAATCACTTCAAAATCATAGCATGCTTATAAAATCTTCTATCATTCTATCAACATATTCATTTAAATCTCTTCTAATAATTTTTTTTTAATCAAGAAGTATCTTTTATATTAATTCTTCTAGGTCATTATAAATTTTTTTCTTTTAAATATATATCTAAACCTGCTTGAGGAGCATAAATAATTATAATATTAAGAATCTCAATATCAATAATAATTTTTAGTTTATACAATATTATCTTTCAAATTTTTATCTACAATTACGCCTACACCATTACTATTATGACTCCTACTTAAATATCAAAGCTTAAAACATAAACTATCAATCTCCTTAGCATTTTCTTCAACTCATTTAGTTTATTGGATGCATAAAATATTTATCTTCCTATATATAATAAAATATATTAATTTATATATATATATATATTATAAGTTCATATGCTAATACTATTTTCATGGACTTGACTTTTTCACCCGCACCGGTCCATAATGTAAGATTCCTTGCTTATTTAAAATTCACCAGGGGGCCAGTGCAACAGCCATTGCACACTTATCATTGTATTCAGGTCATTGAGCGTGTCACTTCCAAAGTAACAGAGATTAAAAAAATGATTTATAGTTATAATATGAATTCAAGTAATTTGTCAAAATAGGACCCTAATTATTTATATGGGGGCATTTTACTATCAGAGTATAAAAATGACACCTTAATCCACATACTCTTTTAATATGGGTTGAAACAATCACCGTGGATGATTAATTTAACCTTAATTTAAAAAACATGGGGACTAACATGACACTTTTATAGACTTTATACTAAAATGACCCCTTGTAAATAGTCTGGGACTATTGAATTTATATATATGTGGTTTTTGCATCTGAGTTTGCATATACATTAGAATGTGCACATGAACCTAAACCTAAAACTAGGCAAGAATCAAAATCCAATTTTGAAATTGAATATGAGTATAAAATCAATTATGAATATGAACATAATTAGAAATTTAGCCCATTGGGAGTTGGTTGCTTGTTTTCCTTCTATTCATGATATTATATATAGTAGGGTTAGTCCTTTGAAGATAATCATGTATTAGTTCCCCTATATATTTGTTGTTAATGTACAACAATTGGGCTTTTCTACTTGCAGCGTGAATCATATTCGTGGCATGGTTTTTAATTCTATGTTAATTTTCTTCTGAAGTTGAAAATCTTTACTTTATTTTTTGGCTTTTTTTTCTGGTTCTCATCCAACGAAACAAAAGTTTAGCCTAAGAGTTGGTGGATTGTGAATTTTGATCTTTGAGTGTTTTGATGTATGACAAATTGTATTTCTTTCCCCAAAACTTCAGTCCAAGGATAACCAAGCATATGACAAAAAATAATGAAAGAAATAAAGAAATAGTTCTTTATATCCATGGCTATGAGCTTATGTATCATGTACGAAATCAACATAAATCAGCAATACGCAAATCTCATAACTTTCCACCTCAATGATTCTGAACTTTCAGTATTATGTCAACAAAATAAAAAGATAGAGACAAACCTCAGTTTGAATCCGTTTGTTCAAGGCTTCATTCCACATATTAGCAGCATAAGCTGGCTGAATTTTAGACCACATTATCATACCAGAAGCAACCTATGAAGAATGATAACATGCAATCAACTTTATATGCTAAAGAGGAATATATACAACATCATGCAGTTCAGGTTTTCCTCAACAGACAAAAAGAAAACAAATATGGGAAATATGGTAAGATTAGAGTGCAATAATGCTGCTCACGTGTCAAAGCACTCAAACGTTTAATGGTGTAAAACTTATAGAAATATCCTTCCCTTATGGAGAATTTTGATGTTTATACTCATAACTAATATATGTTGAAAAATAAGAAATTGCATATCATACCAAATGTGCATCAATTGGTGGCGGGTAGTTATCTTTTGGAGTATCTATCCAACTGAAGATCATATTGTGATAGCCATAAGGCTTTCCATCCATGCTTCGAGCATACTCCCAAGCTGCAGTAACATTTAATTTGGCACGGACATCAGGATGCAGTGGAAGCAATGCAATTTGCGGATTTGAGTCATCTTTGTTCAATTCAAAATCCCACCACTCCTCCCATGGTAATATAGCAATTACATCTTCACCCTGTAAAAAATTTGTATGATCATCATATTAAATTACACGGAAGTTATGCATAAATATCATATAAAACCTGGTAAATTGCGTCAATCTTGATCCCACGACTTGTTATAGCCATTTCAATTTTTTAATGAGCTAATGAAAAGATATAAACCATTACTAGGCACAAAGGATATATCAGTAAAAAACAGCAAAAAATTTTCAAGAAAAGTGGTATTGAATGCTCTATTGATGACCTCAAAATGCAATCCAATCTGAGCAACTTTCGTTTCATTAATATCATTAACAGGATGAGAGACCACATCAACCACTTTTCAAAGTTTTCGACAATGTTGTATGAAACCCTCTCACTCCATACTTCTAAGCTTCCATTAGAATGTCATATAAACATTTAAATATTTAATTTTTTTCTGAAAGTTGGCACATTATTGTTCAGTTCAAAACAAACTGATAATTATTCAACAAGTGAAAACTATTTACCAGTGCAATGCATGCCATTAAAAGAAAATTAATTAAGAAAATCCATTGCACTATCATCATCATCATCATTAAGCTTATCCCAACTATTTTGGGGTTGTCAAATTCATTACATTATGAACCAAGAAAATAAAAAGGGGCATTTACATACCGACAACACAATTCTTATTTATTTATATATCTAACACCTACACATTCATATTTGCATGCATACCACTCAATTTTTTAACACCAAGTCCAAATTATCACCATCACCATCTTTTTAAAAGTGCAATGCACCTTTCCAGCATAGGTTTACAACAGCAAGGTGTTGTAAGTGTAAATATCAAACTTTAGGTGTTAGATATGTAAATACATAAGAATTTTGGGGTATGTAGTTAAATTTCCCAAATAAAAAATTTAATTTCTAGTGTTAATATATGGCACTAACCTTGTCATTTTCATGTCCAGATTCTGCAACCCAAAGTTTTCCTTCAGAATCCTTTAGGCAAACAGCAGTATGACCAGCATACGCACCAGTCACCCACTTTTCAAGAGTTTCAAAACCACCCCATCTGCCACGGATTTTAGATAAAGTTAAGAAATCACCCGAGTGAACGTCATCAACATTGATGCTCGATATCCAAGGTTTGGGTCGTTCCTCAAATTTTGCCCCCATATGCTTCTTGAGAAAAGCGAGATTTGAGTTCTCACCCCATCCCGTATTTGTGAATAGAGGGAAAACGTCCCACAAAGCACGGAGAGTTCCCAACATCCCAGATTGCATGAGGAAGATAGACACGCCATGATGTTTTACCTGATGACACAATTTGAATATATACCAATTATGAAATAAAAATGTCATTCCAACATCCATATAAAGTTAAAAATAAAAAACTTTTCCTCATAAACTTACATGTTCATACTCTTCTTTTCCTTCCCACTCATCAAACTCAAGGGTATGCTCTCGAGACAAAAAATAATAATCCCACGTAACGCGATATGGAGTTGCAAAAACGTAAAGATCCATACAAGTCCAGCTATGAGCATTATTGACCTGGACAAAAGTATAAAAAATAGAATGTTGGAGTATATTCTGAACATTTGAAAGTTTGGACTAGAAAACTGAGTATTGAGTAAAGTGATGGTTCTGCATTAGAAATTGTACGAGATGATAAATACAGGTAGAAAATGGATATGAAAACTTCAGATTAGAAGACGCTGAAAATTTATCAAGACTCAGATTCCTTTAGGATATAACCATTCAGCTCTCAGTTTAGCCTCTTCATTATGGCAACTTACACAAACAATATTCATTATTTTCTTCTCTTTTAAATTTATTTTTTTAGAATTCAGGTAGAGCAGAATCAAAGCGTGATGCTATAAAAATTTGAAATAAAATAAAAAATAAAAACTATTCCAAAGTTCTTATGTTCCTCAAAAAACTTCAAATGCTTAGTTAACAGGTAACACTGATTACTTATTGCCCAATTAAAATGCTTCATCTTAAAATTTCATTCAAAGTATCATGAAGAAAGTCATTAAAGAATGTATTTACAAAAAGCACACAGCTTCCAAAATCCGGCCAGATGAATTGATCCATAAATTTCTTCAGCTTTTGAGAAATTAATTGGTTCCACCTTCATAAATTACTCAATTTAGTTGAATCCCTACACATGAATCAGTACTATAACCAATGTAATTAATCAAGATGACAGAAGCTAAGCAGTACTATCGAAATCTTTAACTAAATATAAATGATATCATTGATTGAATCAAATATGAACACAGAGAAAAATTAACTTCATGACAGTTAAAAAAATTAGACACGCAATCCCTAATGATTAAAAAATGGACGGCTCAAATAGACACGCAGCTGCCTTCTAATCCAATAGCATCAAAGAGCTAAATCTTCAAAAAGCACTGAAATCCTCTGGAAGATGCATGGCATTGATATCAATAATTCAGACCCACGTGCTGATTTAACTTGCCCGATCATCAAATTCTATGAACATAAAACCAAAAACCTAATTTTCTCCCGCAAAAAGACAAATATAAAAAATCAAGTTCCCGATTCCACCAAAACTTCACACAGAAAAGAAACTTGTTCGAGAACGAACCATTATATGGAGAGTTCCGCCGCCGTATGGCGACTTACTCTTATTGTGAAACTCCATCCACGCCGTGTTGTTGTAAAAGCACGCACCTTTCCACTGTAGTTTGGTCTCCGGCGATGATACGACGCCGACGTACGTCGGGAGCAGGTCGACGGCGCTGCGCAGCGAACGGAGGATCGGCCACGAGATTGAGGAGGGGAGAAGAGGCAGGAGGTCCGAGGAGCGGAAAGGATACTTCCATGTCCCGTCGGAGTTGGATTGGAAGTAGGAAACGGAGATTAGAGTGAGGAGAAGGAGGGGGGCGATGAAGAATCCAGGGAATCGCTTCATGGGAAAGAGAGATCGAGAGAGAGAGACGTGGTAAAGAGTAGCAACAAAGAGGAATTAGGTGCTTGGAGCGTCTATCCTGCGCGGCTAAGCTTAAATATTAAAATTTTGGATTTGGATCTCGATTTAAAAAAAAAAATTCATAGCTTGACATTTGTAATTTAAGAAGTTATCATCTATTTTAGAATAATATTTTATTTATCATCATTGCTATTTTTTTTGGATTAAAAATGTAATTTTTATAGATTTGTTTCAATTTTTTACTTCTGGTTTCGCTTTTTAGATTATAATAAAGAACCAGTTAAAGTGCATTTCATGAAACTGCACTAAGAAATAGTATAATTACAAAATACTTAGTAGCTGAGAACCCGAAGGGAATGTGTATAAATATGCTCTATTGGCTTCAATTTATAATTTTCTATTGCAGGACTAATTACAAAATACTTAGTAGCTGAGAACCCGAAGGAAATGTGTATAAATATGCTCTATTGGCTTCCATTTTAATAGTTTTTCATTTATAATTTTCTATTGCAGGATATTAAACTTTGTAATTTTTTTTCCCCTTTGCAGTATTTATATTCCGTTTAGGGGTGTGAACCAGCAGCAGAGCTTGAGCTAGCCCTTTGCAGTATTTATATTCCGTTTAGGGGTGTGAACGCTTGAGCGTTTAGGGGTGTGAACGTTTGAGCTAGCATAAGGCTTGTTTGCGTTCGACTCATTCATTTTTTTTTTGTTCATGCTAGGCTCGTGTTCGAAATATTCCATAAAAATTTTGTTTGCATATGGCTCGATTCAAGGTCGGTTTGCTCAAATTAAGCTCGTGTACAGCTCAAATTGGAGCTCAAGAGCTATAACGGTAGTGTGAGAAGGCCCACTTGACTAGTGCTTAAAAGAGGGATTTTTTGCATTTGAAGACCTCTAAAGGTGTAAGTAAAGTTCTCCTGGTGATGTGAGACTAAACAAGTGATTGTGCATTTTTTTTCGTGTTTGATTCCCGCCACAGATCGAAATAGTGCATCGATTTTTCTCAAATTCGAATTTTTACTACATTTGGGGGGCAGTTTGTCCTCTCAGAAAAGAGGTTGGTTTCGTACATCTCTTGGTATTATTTTTTGGAAAATCTTGCTGAGTATTGCAATTGTAGGTACTAAATTGCACTCCTTCTTCCTCTTTTGGGCCCACTTTCTTGAGGTTTTTTGTTTTGAATTTAGCTTATGGCCGTGACATGATTAAAATATTTTTTAATTTATTGTTAATATTAAATAAATATTCTTCAATATGTATTTTTTATTTTTTAAATAAATTTTGTAATATCACACAAGCCGTGATTATTTTAATTTAGATATAAATATATATAATAAATTATTATATAAATAATATATATAATTTATATATTTTCTTTATTTCGAGCTAAAACAAGTAGAATACGATCGAGCAAAGTGTTGTTCGTATTTGATTAGTTAATAATTCAAGCTTAACAAAAACATTTAAGTTTGGCTTATTTATTTAATGAACAATTCAAACATGAGCAACTTAGCGAGTCAAACATGAGTTGTTCTTGAACTGGTAAAAATAATTTTTTAAGGAAATCTATATACAAATAAGGGCGGAACCAACCTTTTTTTTTTTAGGGGGGGGCCAAATGTGGGAGGAGTTGGGGCAATCAAGAGCAAAATAATATTTTAAGATAGGCAAAAGACAAACTTGCTCTCTCATATAAATAATAATATGAATTTAAGGGGGGCAATTCCCCTCCCTTAGACCTACTTTTGTCCACCCTTGCATAAAAGCCCTATAAAATTCATTTATTTACACATCTAAGTCTTAAATTTTTACACTTATCATCATTAGTGCCATAAACTCACACATTAAAAGCTGTATTTCTGAAATTAATAATTATGATATTTTTGACATGATGTTAAATTCTTAAGTGTTAAGTGTATATATATATATGAAATATTAAGTGCTAGATATGATAATACATTATGTGCACGTGCCGATGTGCGTGCATTCGCCGTGTTTTAATCTTCATTTAAAAAATAAATTTCGTTTAAAATGCTAAACTTATATCATTTATGCAAATAAAATATAATAAAAATATAAAATTTCATAATATGAAGGATCTTCGTAATTTAATCCACATGACATGGTTGTTCCATCCACAATGTCCAAAATCATTTTTTTGAATTTCTTCTTCGCTTGGACTAATTCATTATTATTATTATTTTATTTATTTTATTGAATGTCTAAATAAAATAATTGATTATTAGATTATCAAGATTGAAATAATAATTATTATTATATGTAGCTAATTATTAGTAATATAATAAATGCGTAAGAGAATGATAATAATATTTGAAATATATTTGCTTTGGTGTTAAATATGCAAATACATAATAAATGCCCAAACAAAAGAAAAGAAAGAACAAAGCCATGCTTCATATTACTTTTACATTTTATTTAGTCCCACATCTCTGAAGTTACTTTACTTATACCCTTAGCATTGTTTAAATGCAGGAAAAATCTCATCTGAACAGTACAAGCTCAAGCCAATTGGCTCAGTGTCGCCTACATGGGAGTTGGCTCATGAGTTGTGTTCAAGTGAATTTGAATCAATTTTGACAAACAAATGAACAAGCATGTTTTGAGCTCCTAACAAATTAATTTGAGCAATATAGAGTTGAACGTGAATGGTCATGTTATGAGCCAAACACGAACAGACCTCAATTTGTTGATATTAGGCTTATTAAAACTCTTACTCTACAACTCTTGTTTTATTTAGTTAAAATTTAAATAAGTTTAAATCTAGGAAAATATATAGAATATGTTATATAATAAATTGTGGTGAACATATTGGCATATATATTTTAAAATTTTATAAGGCATTTTCTATTATATATTCTTCTATACATTTTAGTTTGTATTTTGAACTCAAACAAATTTACTATAGAAGAATAAAAGCATAAAAATATTATTTTGGATATTGCATATAAATGATTGTATGAATTATAATTATTTATCATGTATATTAATTTACCCAATATATTTTTTTTTTGTTTTTATGACAATTGTATATATTGATCATTAGACATTCTACACCATATTTGAAGATATTCCTATAAAGAATATGATATTTATACACTTTGTATTATAATTATACATGCCAAAAAAGAAAAGATAAATTAGTTCATGAGGTCAGGTGGTTTTATTTTGTGCTTTCATGTGGAATTATAATGGCATTTGTATTTATATAATCATTTATAAGAGTATTTGATATTTATAAATATATGTGAACAAGTGAATATATATAGGTGAATATGAAGATATAATGAGACAAATAAAAATATGAATAAGTGGATGCATGAGTAGATGTGAAGATATAAGGCCGGAGAGGAGAAATTATAAGTCTATAAAACATGATATGAATCATTCACTTGATATTATGTTATTTTATTTATGACTTTATGTTAAAATAGTTGTTTATATTATTGTTTGATATACTAACAGTATTGCAATTAGCTTTTATATTGATATTGTGTTTGACAAACACAACATAACATCACACACACACACACACAAGAATATATTTGTTTAACATAGAATATAACACGAGAAATAGTAAATATTTCTATGAAATCGGTCGGGTATAGTTGCTTGGTCGCTCCTGTGAAGTCGACAAGGTGTTGTTGATTCGTTTTATGCAGAGACTGTCAGACGATTTAACTCTCGGTGGGTTCCCCAGCTCCCTGAGTCGTGAGCTTTTGGTTGAGGATTGATGATTGAGCTCCATGTGAGTTATTTCCCAGGGGTTCCTACATTGTCACGTCACAACCTATGGGTCTATCGGATTCCCTTGAGATTCTTGTTAGTAGGTTTTCTTAAACAAATCCTGACAACATAAAGTCTTAACCATCCACTCGTTGTGGTGTAGATGATCACGCGGGTCTTTCTGGTTCCTAATCCCCATCATTAAAGCAGCCAAAATTGTGAAGAAAAAGAAGTTTTCCAAGCCACCCGCAGAACCACATCCTTCTCGAACCACTCTCTATCTAGCGTCTTGGAAAAGTGGTTGATCCATGGAAAGTTCTCCAATCAAGGAGGAGCGATCTCCCGGAGGATCCATGAGACGATGAGTGAGAGACCAAAGAGGTTGCAGTAAGCGATCTGGGCATAACGTTGGCCAATGCTTCCGACCTTTAAGAAGCACACCTCGTAGGCACACCACACAACAAGAGGCAAGGCACGATGCCACCCACATCTTTGAACTACTAAAATATTCCTTGGCTAATTATTGAAGAATATCGCTCCAAAAACCGAACACCAAAATTGCAAGTACATGTTATGTTTTTTTTTTCTTTTTTTTATTTTTGAATAAGTCGTCAGCTTGTTTATCGTCGTATAATTCCATTTTCTGAATAAGTCTTTCTTTTGGATCATAAGAATATCTGAAGAAGAACGGAACTAGAAGAACAATGAAGAAGACAAACAAAGAGAAAGAAAACATATAGAACTTGTGTGTGATAAACCTCGCAATGATAGGTCAAATATGTCCGCACAAATAAGATCGAGCGGAGGCACATTGAACTAATATTTGTTAAAGAATAGTTACGTAAAATGCCCATAACCAGAGATTCAGATGTGTTTGTCTATTCTGAATTCAAAATGCTCCCAAGTTAATATATCCCACTTAGTTAATAACAACTTGGGGGTTGCCCAAAAATACTCTTGATCCAAATGAGCTTTGCTTACTTTAGTAATGACAACTAACACAGGGCTATCAAAGGACAATTATTTCACAGGGCAATGTCCCAATGCTTTCAAAGCTCCTGTTAAGTCATGGGTCAAAGATTGGGTCTTTTACGGTCCCCACATGGGTAACAGACTCATCGAAATACATAGTCTGTAAAAAAACTAAATCAGCTAGATGGGAAATCCCAATACATCAAAGCACATCCAAGACGTAAGGGTAGAGGATAAATCATCGTATCCTAAATGAGAGGTAGTTTATCGTTAAGCAGGTTGTCGAGGTGATACAAATAAAAGCAAAATGTCACGGACTAACTTTCCTCAAGTCACCC